CATGAGGACAAGCTCGAAGTCCGGGAGGGGTGTGATGTTATGGACACACCACTGGGCAGCACACTTCGGTGCAGGCATAGGCAGCAGCACGCACAGCGGGCCGCCCAGCAGCACACACCGCCAAGAGCGCCGCACAGCAACACGACAGCGCGCCGCACGCACTGCTCGGCAGCGCACAGCACGCACCGCTCGGCAGCGCGCACCATGAGCTGCGTGCACGCATTGCGCGACAGCGGCATCGCGCGCAGCGGCACCGCGCGCACGCACCCGACAGCAGCAGTAGAGCGGGGCCCACACGATGGCTCATAGGGGTGGGCCCACCCTTATCTGGACACGTCAAAAGAACTCGCGCCAGCCTTATCCTCATCCCTTATCTTATCTTATCTTTATCTTATCTTAAGTAAGAGTGTGTTACCAGTTACTGTAGGTAATTAGGAGTTTGAGTTCAAGTTGGAGTTTGAGTTTAATTAGGAATTTTCTTCTGTAATCTCCTATTTAAGGAGCTATGAATTGAAATAAAGGACATTCAGTTTTCGCAGTCAAGAAAGAGTGTAAGGAGAGTTCGGGTGATCTCTTGGACAAATCACCCATTAGGAGAGTTCGGGTGATCTCTTTGACAAATCACCCACGAGATAGTCAAAATAGGGCCTGTACGCAAGGCCAAGGGCAAGGAAAGATCTGAGGTTCCTATGGTGGAGCGACCTGTGACGCGATCCTACGCTCGGGCCCATAACAAACTCACAGAGATACAGTCCAAGCGGGGTGAAGCTGGAATACGCACTCCAGTTCGGGCTCGCAACAACGAACAACGAACCAGAGTACGAAGCGTTGGTCACCGGGCTCACTCTAGCAAAGTGAAGGATAAGCACCTTATCATATGCAGCGACTCTCAGCTCGTGGTCAACCAAGTCAGCAGCGAGTATGAAGCCCGCGACCCCACCATGGCTGCTTATTTGGCCAAAGTTAGGGAGGTCCTGCGCAATTTCATCTCTTATTTCATTAGGCAGATCCCGAGATCCGAGAATGCTGAAGCCGACGCCTTGTCTCGATTAGCCAACACAAGCAGCAACACCATGGGGACCGTGTACATAGAGGACTTACCTCGGCCTAGCATTCTCGGGGGGGCAGAAGAGGTCGCTCTTGTAGCACAAGCAGAGCCTAACTAGATTGACCCACTCGTGAGTTATCTGCTTTACGGGACCCTCCTGCAGAACGCAATGCGGCCCAAAGGGTAGAGCGCTAGTCGGCTAAGTACGTCATTATAGACGGATAGTTGTACAAGAGATCTTTCATGCTCCCCTACTTGCATTGCTTGCAACCCTCAGAGGTCGAGCTTGTTCTCCGTAACACCCATGAAGGCATGTACGGCGGACACTTGGGGGGCAGGGCTCTCGCACAAAAGGCGTTACGACAGGGCTACTACTGGCCCACGATGAAGGCAGACGCATTTGAGCTCGTCAAGTAGTGCGATAAGTGTTAGAGGCACGCTAACATCCACTACCAATCTGCTGTCGGTCTCAAACACCTCACCAGCCCATGGCCCTTTGCACAGTGGGAAATCGACATACTTGGCCCATTCCTGCCAGCGACAGGACAAAGGAGGTTTTTGGTCGTAGTAGTGGACTATTTTATGAAGTGGGTGGAGGCGGAACCTCTAACAACAATCACAGCCCGCAACATACAAAACTTCTTTTGGAGAAATATAGTGTGTCGCTTCGGGTTACCTCGGATACTCATCTCCGACAACGGGAAGCAATTCGAGGACATCAACTATCTATTCAAACCATATCTGGTTAATAAAAGATTTCGGTTCAATACTGACAAATTTACCATGTCAACCGGTCATTAAAATACTGGTTGGAATAAGGTAAATAAATAAATAATGAAATAAGAGTTCGACAATAATATAAAAAAGATATGATATCTAAAAAAACAGCTGATTAATAAACTGTAATCATAAACATGGAAGTGAATAAATTGTTATTTATTGGATGGTTTTAATTGATCAAAACTCTTTTCATACCATATATTTCCCGCATCATAGATTTTAATCGTATTATTTAAATAGCTTATTTGTTCTTTTCAATCTCACCTGACCTGCTTAAGGAGCCAACTTGCGAAGTTTTGATGAACAATCAAATGACATATTAAATCTGGATCTAAGAAATAATAGCAAAATGACAGGGCCTGGGCCTAACACTTGAAGTTCGGCCAGATCCAACACAGCAATAAGTAACTTAGGTCGGAAGCTTGGTTCAGCCCAGTCCGGGTCAGGCTGATCCTGAGCCCAGTCTATATTGGCTTCATAAAAAGTGATAAGCCGGCCTGCCCCCGATCTAGTGTACTACCCATTTGATCGGGACAGTTGAACTACAGAGACAATCTGGGAAGAAAGCAGTTTTATTTTTCATTGGCTTTTAAAAGAAAACGGTGTTGTATATGTGTAGATTAGAAGCACCGCTTTCTGAGAAAATAATATTTTTATTTATTTTTTTTTTGAAAATATTGCTTCAAGTATGACGTTTTTTGGAACAATAGCAATATCTTCTGTTTGGTACCAGTGCTTCATATCTGTTTTCAGCATTGGTATCCATTATAGGAAGTCCACGTCACTGCCACATCATATCTCCGTTGGCAGCAACAAGCTTTAAATTGAGAAAATATCAAATTTGACATTTTTCCAGATCACGCTTTTTCGATTTCCAAAATGTGATTTGAGACACCATTTTTTTATGAAAAAAGGGTTACAAATATATTACTAATTTCTGAAGCACTGATTTTTTCAAATAAGACTGATGTATCACCAGCTTTTAATTTTATTTCCCGATACAATTTAGCATGAACTACAGATGATGGATAAATTACATCAGTTGTTAAGATGTATAAAGGTAATCTTAAAGACCCATTCCTCACGACTGCACTTAAGCTCCAGTTACATATGTTTTTTGAGATCGTGATCGACTGATGGTCAAGTCAAGAGAAAGTGATAGTCAAATAAGGAGAAGAAATTATAAATTGGTGGAATAAATGGATTATAGGGTAAATCCTGTTAAAGCAGAGACATTCGTTCTGATCCTGGCTGATACCTAAAGCAAATACTTCATACTAGTGCATACAAAAATAAGCGAAGCAGTGTCATGTCCCAGAATTCAGAATTGGCTGTAAATCGTTTGGCTTAGGAATGGCAACAGGCGGGTTTGGGGCGGGGCACCCCTTCCCCGTCCCTGTAGCCAAAATCCTTTGTCTTGCTTTCGCCCCGCCTCTCAGTGGCGGGGCATCTCCTCCTTGTTGGGGAATGGGGAATGGGGACGGGACGGGATATTTGAATTTAGTAAAGTGAATTGTATTAATCTGTTGAATTTAATTTAATTTCCTTCACAGTAGAATGTAGTTGTAGCAAGCTGGGTCGTTGTGGATGTTAATTTAGGCGTAAGAAACACGTAGTCCCTCAACCAACCAATATCAAAATCCATTGTAAATTTTTTAAGTCAGTCACTTGAGTCGAGATTATTCCAACAAAGGTGGACGTGCTTTTTTGTTATTTTGTGTAAAGAAAACAACTTGGGAACATCGATCAGGACTTGAGGAAAGGGATGTGATTTTTTATGTTTTTTTAGGAGTGGGGAGTACTCTCACTACTCACTCACTAGGAGTACATGTGATAGAAACTGAAGTAGAGTGGAGGGTGGGGGATAGAAGTAGTAGATGTATTGGGCAATGAATGAATGAAAATCAAAAGGTAGCTCTACCGGTCATCCATACCTCTCAAGTCTCAAGACTTTCAGGTCTTGGTCGTTGGAGTTGACTCCAAGTCAAAATCTCTATTGAGATTTGAGAAGAACGCGGTTCTGCGTTTGGAATTTATTACTTATTTTTATGTTCCAAGTTACAACCTCTGAACACCATAACTTAATATAGAAAATGACCACAACTTTATATATGCACTCATCCAGACTTGGACTAGCCTTGAATCTGGAGAAATGTTGAATACCATGCACCCTCCTCTCCTGTTGTGTTGAATATGTCAAATGATCGACTGCAACCATATGGATGGAACTTTGGTTTGATTTGCAGAATCACCTTCACCTGCACCCAATTACCACCAATTGAACGTCTAAGGATTAAGGATTTGATGGTCCAAACCAACACTTGTCCAATTAATTTTCAGACGACATAAATAAATTATCTTCTTCTTAATTAATTTACAAGTTATTATATAAACATTCTATTGAATTAAGTGCATTAACTAAGATTTGAGAAGACAACTGACGTGTTCAATACTCAGTATATATTATATAAAAAATTAAAAATGATAGCAATGCAGATGGATAGAATATATATGTATATATATATATATATATATATATATATATTAAGTGCATCAATTAGCTGTAAATTGCTTAAACTAAAATGTTTATTTAGGGAATGGAGTCGTTCAAAGTTCAAACAAATATATGGGCGCACTAACCCTTAGCCCCTATCTCTCTCATACAAAAGCAGATTTGCATCGATCATTCTGTGGCACAATTCAGAGGGGAAAGTATTAGTTGGGCTATAACATTTATGAATACAGTTCGCACGGATCATCCATCTAGCCTATATCTCCCTGAGAAACCAAACTACAGCCAAATCTCTTATCTTTGTAGAATTAGCACTCAAATTCTCAAATTCAAAGGTGGGTGATGATGGGGTTTTACCAAAATAAATAAAAGGAATCAAATTCCGTGGAAGGGAAAATTTCAGAGTAAAAAACCTTGAAGAATAAAAGAAAGAATAAAAAAAAGACTGGAAGACGAGTCTGCTTAATTTGTGAGTCTAGTCTAGGGTTGGATCGGATCGGATGGATTATGAAAGCGTGTGGGGCCCATTACTTTGTGCGACTGGACTTTCAAGTTTTAGCTAAAAATTTCCAAGCAACTTTCTTCTTCCAGTCGCATCTCGCGTTGTCTACTTATATATATATATATATATATATATATATATCAACCAAGCACCTTGCCTGAGGCTGGTGAGTTGATGAGTGGCAGCGTTAACCTTAACATCCATCCAAAGAGTAAAGAAATATTTATGATTAGAATTTAGAAGAGAAGAGAGCCCAGCCCATTAACATAATTTAGCTGAAGTAGTCCTCCGGTCGTCTTGTGTTGATGCCCTAGGCTCCTTCTTCCTCAATCCTCATGGATAATCATCAACCAACAACAACAACACCCGATTACCAGCTCCCAGGGTTCCGATTCCATCCCACAGAAGAAGAGCTTCTCGATTTTTACCTCAGAAAGATGGTTTTTGGGAAAAATCTCCATTTCGACATTATCGGTTTCCTCAACATATACCATTACGATCCTTGGGATTTGCCAGGTATTACACTAATATTATTTTTTTTTTTTTTTGTGGGGAGGGGATATTTAATTTTCCAACACATCACGCATGTACTGTGTTTGTTTAATTTGGATATTATATAATAAATACGCCTACAATTACTGCTCTCTGCTACAAACAGGATTAGCTAAGATTGGAGAAAGGGAGTGGTACTTCTTTGTGCCCAGAGACAAAAAGCCTGGAAATGGGGGAAGGCCTCACCGCACCACGGAGCACGGATTTTGGAAGGCCACCGGTTCCGACCGTCCCATACGCAGTCTGTCGGACCCCAAGAGGATCATTGGGCTCAAGAAGACTCTCGTCTTTTACATGGGAAGAGCGCCACGTGGGTCCAAGACCGATTGGGTCATGAACGAGTACCGCATGCCTGAAGCCTCCACCCTACCTAAGGTAAATCAATCACTCACAATTCGCACCAACTCGCGACGACTCTGTTTTGTTTTTCAGAAACCAGAAATTGTTTTTTTTTTTTTTTTTTTTTGGGGCTTGCTTCCGATTGTCAATGGTAACCGCAATACCACCACACCATAGTAGGACTCCACAAACATAAACTGGTTTCATTGCATCTGCATTCTGATTTCCGCAATATCATCATAATTCTTGTGGATGTGGAGAAGTGACATATACAAGCTCAGGTCCTCAACCAGTCAACCTCACCTACCATTCATCTTTCTTCTTTGGGCTTTGATCCAACCGTTAGCCCACTTTTTCCATCACATTAAATCATATAAGAATTGGATTAGGTGTTGGTATTTATAGTAGAAATAGGTCTTGTTCGCTTATAATAATACAGTTTACTTAAGTAATATTTATTTGGGTAAATGCAGTTACCCATATTTTTTTAATTTTTAGGATTCCTAGATAAATAATAAAATTATATTTGTATTCATAAAAAGTAATTATTAAAATGGGTAAAATAGTCTTATAATATTTTGTAACACTTTCTCATAGTTGAGAAAGTTACTTATCCACCTGGGAAATGGGTAAGTTTTGCCTAGAAAAATAAGGGTAACTTTATTGTGGGGCCTATTGTAGAATACAAAAAGAATACGGGAAAGTTAGTCAATCGGAAAAAGTTATCCATTAACCAACTTTCTCATGCATATTTACTTACAAACGAACGAGGTTAAATTTGACATTTAGGTTGTGTTGGAAAAACTTTGGCTTTTGGGGGCCGACAGCTTTTCCTATTGAGAGTTTTCGGATTGAGCACCTTACCATGAGAGTGGGAAAATTAGTAATTGCCCATTGATTTATTTTGAGTAAAAACAAAAGCATGCCCGTGAGCATGCCCAACTCAGAAACTCTTTCAACAAGAAAGGCTGTTGGCCCCCAACAACCAAAGTTAACCCAATTGTGTTTGGTTGCAATGCAAATAAATTTGCACCGATGCAAAACTATGTCAGTGCAAATGATTTGAGTGTAATTTATGACATGCTTTTGTTTTAAATTTTAACTTTTTTTGTTTGGTTGCAGTACAAATGAAGCCAATTAAGACATGAAACTGAATAAAGCAAAACCCAAAACAAAATTAGACTAGAATTTGCATTTTTTTCATTTGCACTCCTATGCATTTGTACTAGTGCGAATAAAATTGCACAGCAACCAAACACAATAAGGTTGTGTTTGGTTGCAGTGCAAATTCATTTGTACTGATGCAAAACTATGATAATGCAAATGATTTGGGGCGCAAGTTTTGTTTAAAATTTCATCTAACTTTGTTTCGATTGCAATAAAATGAAATAAAATGAGACCCAAAGTAGAACAAAATAAAATTTAAAATAAATTAAACAAAATTAGCATTTTTTTTCATTTGCACTCCCATACATTTGTATTAGTGCATATAAAATTGCACTGCAACCAACAGCAATGGTACTCAAATTTATATGAATAACTGAAATCATGCGGTAAAAATATATATATATATATTCTAACCAACTTAAAGCATAGAGTTATAAATAGAAGTGAGTGGCCTAGAAGCGACCATGGTACCAAATACAACATTGCCAGGTTTTTCTTCACGGGGTAAAAGTAAAACGACACCGGGTTGATGATTGCATCCTGAGTTCCGTGTAGCATACGCTGCCGGAAATTGAGACTTGGGATTTCCGACGCTAACCAATCACTGAGCAACAACCGGTGTTGTTATAAAAACATCAGTTCCCCTCTCTCACTCTCACGTAAATGTAGATTCAAGTCTTTACAGTTAGGTTTGTTTGGAATATAACGGGGTTTAATTTGGTTAACTAAATGCAGGAAAACATAGTGCTTTGCAAAATCTATCGGAAGGCCACGTCGTTGAAGGTGCTGGAGCAAAGAGCGGCAATGGAAGAAGATAGCAAGCCATCTATCTTGGTTTCTCCTTCTCCTTGTGCAGCAATGGAGGAGGATTTCACATTGCACGAGTCTCAAGAGAACCTCTCACCCGCATCAACACTACCCGTAATGCAACACATACTTGTCAAGATTGGAGGAGAAGAAGAGCATCAGAAAAAACATGACAAAGAAGAAGTGTACAGCAAGGAAAATGCTTCTTCTACCTTGCCTCGAGAAGGCCTCAGATTGGCAAGGGAACTGCCAGAGCTACAACTGCCTAGGCCCAGTACCTTGCTGGATTGGACACAGGACCCACTCTGGACCCAACTACGTAGCCCTTGGCTAGACAACTGGATTCCTTACGCCAACGTACTCAACTTCTGAAATAGGATAGTTACTACTTGTAGACATCATATATATGATCTGCTGCTCAGACTGTAATCTGTAGATATTTCCCACTTCCGTCTTTTAATTTATTACTATTGCGTGTAGTAAGGCCCTCAAGCCTACTTGTTTGGTAAGTTGAGATTGAGGGTTTCTTTCACACAATTTGTGTCTTTGAGTCTTTCTTCATCAGCCATGCACGGCTCTAGCTACTTTCCCTGCTAAAGCCTAAAGGGGCTTGAGTACAAAGATTTATATGTATGTGTTTGGGGTAGCTTCCATGCAACATCTATCTTATAAGAAGAAACCTGTTAATTAAACTTAATAAATTCTGGACATGCTTTTTAAAGTTCAGCTTTCTTAACTCAAAAACATAAGCACCATGAATTAAAAAGAAAAAAGGGATGCCAATGGACAATTGGATAAATTAAAATGCATGTTTCTCCAACAATATGTTTACATATGTTATCTTATCTATAATAACATTAGGTTATGTTTGGTTTGAGGGAAAAGGTAGGGAAAGGAAAGCAAAGGTAAGAAAACTTATACAAGATTTGTAAAGGTTTCCCTACTTTTTCCTTCAAACCAAACATAGCCTTAATGTGTGTTCAAGTAAATAATTAGGGAAATTATCTAAAAGCACCATGAGTTTTCAGCATTTCTCTTAAACTCACCACAACTTTTCTAAATGTCTAAAGCACACCATGTTACTAACTTGACATTAAATAAACTAACGGGTGTTAATATGTTACCATTTTAACCTTCATAGAAAAATATAAAATATATACAAAATAAATTGGTGGGTGTTAATTTATTACCATTTTAATATTTAGACATGAAAAGGGGAAAAGTTCAAAAAAAATATTTTCAAATATAAAATACATAAAAACATAGAAATTACAAAAAAATATAAAAAAATATAGAAATTGCAAACAAAATATACAAATTATAGACACTATAAATTGAAAAACAAAATCAGAAAATAAAACTTGTAGAAAAAACACCAAAAATTATAGAAAACACACAGAAATTGCAAATAAACAACAAAAATATAGGAAGTTTATAGATTGTAGAAAATAGAAAAATGTAAAAAAAAAAACAGAAATTGTAAACAACATTGAAAATTATAACAAAACACTAAAATTGCAAAAGAAAAAAACAAGAAAATTGAAAACTGAAAAAGACCATTTTTCCTCTAACTCGCCATTCAATGATAATTTGGTCATAAAAATTGTTATTTATGCTAACATGAACACCTTTGTTAAGAAGCATTAACAGTGCATTGACGGAAGGTGAGTTTTGGAAAATAAAAACCTACTGACATTCTTTCAAGAGAAGGCACCGAGATCCCACATAAGTATCGTTTGCCCGTGGTGAATTTTAGACATTTTAAAAAGTTGTGGTGAATTTAAGAGAAATATTGAAAACTCGTGATGAATTTTATACAATTTCTATTTCTTGTTTGAGTGGAGTATGAACTACTTGCTATGAATAGCATCTATGAAACATTTTGCTCCCTCAACAGTACAACATGTGTAAGTGTATTGAATGCCGCCAGAGCTAGATGATCAATCCCTCGTCCAAATAACCATCCTTCAGTAACCTATTTTGCTGCCAATTCAATGCTTGACTAGTTACACTTTATTTAGATATTTAAGTCTAATATTTAGATATTAAAAAGGGTTCGACTATGATACCGGAAAGATACGATCAGTATCCGTATCATATATAACAAAATGAATAATAAAAAAAAATTCACCAATGTGTTGCAGGTAAATTATTGCCATTTTCCAAATTCATTAACAGATCGTGGAAATAGTTGCATGAGAAGCTGCCCCATGCATGATATGTAAGCAAAATGAATACTGGAGATAGATGATGAAGATTTCTGTTCTCCGCCTCTTGAGCGTCAAGAGAGTGCAGGCAGTCATTCAGATTTATAAGGGAAGAAGAGGTTGCTCTTTTAATCGAGAAGATATATCACGCATGTCAGTTGCGCAACTCAATTAATCTAAGCGAGTTACTTCCCATTCTATCCGATAACTTGATTTCTAGAGCTGCTTTCAGTAGCAAGTTTGAAGAAGATGATGATAATAGCAGACGGATCGGGCCTTTGACAATGGAGGTAATGTCACTTTTGGGAATGTTTAGTGTCCGGGATTTCTTTCCTTACTTAGGATGGATCAATACAGTTACCGGATTGGATAGGAGGCTAAAGAGGACGTCTCAAGAGTTGGATAAGCTCCCGGATCAAGTGATCAGAGATCATGTTACTACTATTGTTATTGAGGATCAAAGAAGTAAGGACCAGAGGGATGCAGAAGACTTTCTGGATATTTTGCTCCAAGCTCATAAGGATTCAACGCTCGATATCCCCATCCCCATCACTCGAGACAACATCAAAGCAATCATTTTGGTAATATTCATTTCTGTTTCTGAACAACTACCAAATATTAATTAAGCACACTTTTTGATCTTCTCAGTTTAGGCCTCCTTTAAATGACATTACAATTGTTGGCTTTCTCGGATATCATGTCGAAATTGATCCATGTGTCGACCTACAAATGCAATTTTGTACTTCACAGCAGGACATGTTTATTGGTGGAAGTGATACGACGGCCATTACTATGGAATGGAGCATGACCGAAATCGTCAGTAATCCCAAAGTGATGAGAAAAGCCCAAGAAGAAGTTAGACGTATTGTGGGTAAGAAATCCAAGTTTGAAAAAGATGACATTCCTCAAATGGCTTATTTAAAAGTTGTTATCAAAGAGACTCTAACATTACATCCTCCTGCTCCCTTTTTGATTCTAAGAGAGGCTACCGTATCCCAGCTAAAACCAGAGTCTTCATCAATGTTTAGGCAATTCAAAGAGAGGCTGAAGGTAAAGAGGTGGGAGAACCCAAAACGGTAGAAGGTGGAGAGAAAGGCGTATTAACTGGGACGGGACAGGTTTTTCTTTTTTAATTATTTTGACACAAATAATAAAATAATAGATAATTTTTAACGAAAACAAAAATGTTTAGAAGAAAGGCACTGGAACAGGTGTCACAGAGCTATTAATTGCTCACTCATTCCACTTACCTAACATGCCTACTGCATCCGGATCCATCCATCGTTGAAAAACGTACAGGGCGGACTCCTATTACCAAGATGATGAGAAAGTGGCCTTTTGGATTTCTCGTTTATCATCAATCGTGATCGATCTCCGATTACCCAAAATATAAAAGCAGCAGCATTGACAACATATCCCATGAATTTAACATATATGTACGTACGGAAGGCATTCCCAATGTGTGCAGAGTTTTCGCTTTCAAGAAATCGGAAAGCTACACCTTAGTCCGGATCTGCTGATCACAATACATACATTAATTGTTGTTGCCGGTCAGTGGTCACATTCATCCAGCCAAATATTCACCATATTTAGTACGTTGCTGGATCAATGTAGCCAGCAATTTGTTGTGGTCAGCAGATTCAAACTGGCTACAACTTCCGTTCCCAAACCAAGTTTCCGTCACCGTTATTTTTTGTTGAAGGGTAACGTACATTGCTGTAATGAGTCCGGCCGATTCTGCTGCACTTCACAGGCTGAACACCGAGCTAGCTGTTCAACCAATGAGAACAGCCAATTATCTCCCCCACAAGGCCACAAGCAAAGAAGGATTAATCGTTGGGAGGGGAGGAAGATTGAAGACGTTGTGTATTTAAGGTGCATTTTATCCTACACACCCTGTTTCTTAAAACAAAAGCATACAAGAAGGGCACCCGGTTTCTTAAACCAGCGGCTAATCTGCATCTTACTATCTAATTAATATAACATCTTTAAATATAATTACCATACGTACGGATGCTGTGGCACCTTGTCTCCTATTAGATGTGCTTAACTGGAGTTTATTCTAATACATTAGTCTAGTTGGGTTTTATTGAAATTTCTATTGAATTAAGCCACCCATCTTCTTTTCTTCCTTTCACTAACCACATGGTACACCCAGATTAAGAAAGAAAGAAAAAATAAACAATGAGAGAAAGAAATAGCTAGGAAACGAGGGTTAAATAATTGAGTTGGGTAAGGGTTCAGCTATTGGTTCATTTAAGCTATAAAAGGAATCCGATCGACGAGTTATTAATTGCTTTGACCAAATTCCCCCAGTGATGAACTCACAATTAGTCTAATTTGGATGGCTTAATTAGTTATTATTCTCAATTGGAGGCCGAGGCTCTATTCTATATATGTTGTCGGAGTATAGGACAATCCACGCCGTTAAGGTGTGATCTAAATGTTATTTGTCCTAAACCTGAACGAGTCAACCGGTACTTGGTTGACCACTCAACTTCGACTCACTGAAATTTTGTTTTGATCCAGCCTTTATAATGAAGAGATTCCACTGGGATCACAGGAAGAAATATAAATAGAAAAAGAGATCATCAACCAACCGCTAGACAACTGAAAATTTGTGTACGTTCAACGTTTGTTCATTTGCTTTTCTCTCAAATAATGAACTTATAATTGATCATTTTACAAATTAACAATAAAAGAAAAGCCGCCAAAAAGCATATAGGCAAATCCCGAAGCGCAATTCCTTGGGAAAAAAATTTGGATGCCCAATGTAATGACCGGCCGGATTTCCCGGAGAAGTTGTAATAAGGTAGTTTATTAGTGGTGATTAAGGATGTTGAGGAGGGGAGACTCTGATTTTGATCAAACGCCTGAACAAGCACTCTAATCCGTCCTCAAGTCCGTGGATACTCATCTCAACTGCCTCCAATTGATTCTGTGCATTTTGCAGTTCCGCGGCGTCAATGCCTTTGAATGACGACGATGACGACTTTTGAGTTTGACAGTTGAGAGCACCCAATGCACCATCTAATCTCCCCATCTCATTGCAATATTCGTCTTTGTCCCCTTGGCTTGCTGCTGATGATGTTATGCGCTTATTGGTTTGCACTAATTTGGAGACCAAAGACCAACCAATAGGCTTTGCTTGTGCCTTTGGCCCAGATATAAAGGACGAGATGGACTGGAACACTGTCACTGTGATCGCTTCAACTTCTTTCAGAATGCTAACAATGGCCACCAGATCGTGGTCGTCCTTTTCAAACAGAGCAGAGAAACCGCGTTTCTCCATCTTCTTCAAGCCACCGAGACATTTCTGGATCAATTTATTCACCTTCTTCCTGGATATCGCGTAAGCAACAAATTCAGTTGACAGACCAGCTTCTCCACCTCGTCTCCTACGCAGAGATGATTCAAGGTCTAGAATAGATTCTTTGGTCAATGACAAAACATCCCTTGTAGTGCCACACACATCCAACAACTTGAGAGATCCATCCAAGACCTCATCCACCCATTTCTCGTGTTGTTCATGTGAGAGAGCTTGTTGGGTGATTGGCAACTGAAGCAAATTGTCAACACACTCACAAAGCTCGTGGAGAGCAGTCAAGTTGTGATGCAGTGACGATGAGGGGGAGCAGGAGCTGCAGGTTGAAGACAGGGCTTCAGAAGCCCTTAATCTGCACACCCGTTCCTCAACAGCAAGGGTAAGAGGATGAGATGTGGAGGGAAAACTAGTTGAACGAACATGATGAGAGGGGGCTTTAAATTTAGGGGAGGCAGTTGCAACCATCTTCTCTTTTTCTAAATTAGCTAGCAGTATCAGACGAAACTTTGCAATTCATCAAGCTTGGAGAAAGATGACAAGGTCAATCTCTTTTATATAGAGGAGCAGGAGAGACAAGAGGAATCTCATCCTCGCTCGTAACTCCTAACTACACCGAGCAGCTGTCATGTGCTGGAACTTCCCCTATTTCCGGCGATGTCTCATGCATCATATAACGCGCAGTGGTGAGAAAGGACCACCCGAAGATTATGCTTTTAATTAAATTGTATATGTATACACGAGCTGAGTTGAGTTGCCACCATGTCTCCCAGACAAGAAAGAGAGACTACAGGGCATCTTATATATTATATTGCTTATTAATTAAGATCTGGGAGTTATGAGATCTGCATGGATTATTGAACGGACCACGTGGATTTGCCCTGTTAAAGTCAACCATTCTGTTGTGTTCCTTTAGCATTTACTCTCTCCATCTTTCTCTCGTATTTCTGTTTTTCTTTATGATTTTGCAGATCTCAAGTTCACCGGGCAGAAACAAATGGTATCTCGACAGTCGACAGACAGTTGAATCTATTTTAGCTAGATGCTGTATGCGTGCGCTCCATTATTTAATTTGAATCGGGTGGGTGAACTTTGTATGCCGCATGCCAATCTTCAGCTTCAGCCAACTCTGTCTCTACTCAACTCCATGGACGATAGGTTCATAGGATGAGGTTCTGCTCTTGTATATATATTCTTATATCTACACACTCGTGTGGGTGAGTGCCTTGCCTTCCATTACTGACAGCTGTTTTTGATTCTCGGAGTCGGAGGTACGAAGCTGATCCTGACGGTGAATTTATCGAGGAACATACAATAATACAATCCGTGTGCACGAATGGCATAGACGCGTGAATGCACATGCTGGTGAACTAACTCGATCAAACTGATCTTCTGGGAGATTGGTTTGAGATATTCATGTTTCACACCCAACAAGAAAGGCCTACAGGCTAAGGCTCCACTGTTATTTATATAATTTGGACCTCCCATGCTTGTACCTAGTTGTTGTAGGATAAACAACAACAACGACAACAAATTGAATTAAATGTAACTTTTTGATCAGTAATTCCACTCTTATATGCAAAAATGCAACAGGTAATTACATCCTCATCTCCTTGGAATAAAAAAAAAAAATGTATCAGTCAGATTCAGATGCATCAACATTTCCTTGGAAACGGGAAAAAAAAAGACATAAATCCAGGAAAAATAAATAAAAGGGCAAGAAAACAGAACAGAAACAGAGCTCCTAGCTAGCTAGTGCATTATCTAGGTTAACAAATGAGGGTTTTTTTCCCCTTCATTTTGTTTTTTGTATTTATTTATTTTTTTTGTGGGGGGGGGCTCAGCCTTTATGCATCAGCATTACTGGTTGAGGATGTTGAGAAGGGATACCCTTGTTTTGATCAAGTGCCTGAAAACACATTCCAAGCAGTCATCAAGGGATCCCATTCTCATCTCCAATACTTTCAAGCATTTCTGCACATTTTGCAGATTGACCACGTCGCTTTCTTTACAGGACGACCTACGGCCAGTGAGGGCGCACAATGCAAGGTCTATCTTGTCGACCTCATTGGCAACCATTAGCTCCGGCTCACACGCAGATCTCCTGTTGTACATGATCAATTTGGAAACCAAAGACCAACCAGTTCTCGTCTTTGGGGCAGCTATGAAAGACAAGATGGAGTCGAGGAGGATGAGAGCGATGCCTTCAACTTCTTTCAGCATACTAGCCATTACCACAAGGTCTTGGTTTTTGTCCAAGACAGAGGAGGTGGAATACTGTGTTCTCTCCATTCTCTTAACATCTCCCAGACACTTGTGGATCACCTTATTCACGGTCTTTCTAGAGAACATGTAGGCAGCAATGCTACCTTCTAGATCAAGCTCTGCATTCTTCCTCCTTCGCAGTGTGGATTGAACGGTTTGCATCTCTTCCTTCATCTGCAGTAAAACATCCCGCGTGGTACCACTCACATCCAATAGCGTGAGGGATCCATCCAACACCTCATCCACCCATTTATCCTGTCGGCCATGGACTAGGGCTTGGCGGGCGAATGGAGATTGTAGCGATTCCTGTACGCTTTCTAACAAGTCGGCAAGACCTCTAAGTCCATCGCACAGTGATTCTACGGTGCCGCCGGGAGACGACGGTAAGGAGCCTCTCAATTCCTTCAACTTCTTTTCAATCCTTAACATCAGGGGATGAGACACAGAGGGAAAGCTAGCAGAGCGAACATGGCATGCACTTTTGGGAATCACAATCGACACAACCATTTTGCTTTCTTAGCTTGGATCTAAATATTGCAAACCGTCGTCAACGGGTGATGAATTCCTCTTTGTGGGCGCCTCTTATATAAACCGTCGTCAACCTTCTTTAGAGCAATCATTAAAAAGTGAAGGAAAATATATAAACAAGGAAATTCTATAATCTCTAGTCTATGTCAATAATAAGGAGGGATTCTTCTTATCTGTAAATGGGGCACCCTGCTTTGTAATTATAACTGTCTACATTCCAAAAAAAAAAAACTAAAAATGATTGAGAGAGAGAGGGAATGTGTAGTTATTGGAAAACTTATAATTGGATTGGGTGAAGCATTATTAATTATAATGACGAAAGGGTGAAAACATGAGTGCATGAGCATGTCACAATGTTCCCCCGACGACAGACCCCTAACGATAAACATATTGTTTTGTGGATGTAGATTGAAGCAAGTCCAACTGAGATGGGATAAACTTTTTGATAGTTCCACTTGAACCAACGCGCGCCTACATTTGTTTTTGTTTTGGCAAAGATGACTCTATCGTGGTTTCTTTTATTTGTTGAACTTGAACCGGCGAACCGGCCGACGCCGATTCAAATATATGGTTCTCACTTGTCAATCAAACCATTCTGGAATCTGGATGTCGTCCTTGATAAAATTGATGATAATATATATGACTGCAATTAATTTGTTAGTTCATCCACACCAACTAGGGTAGGGTAGATGTTGTATATGCATTTTGTATTCTATTTATCACATCTTGTTTTAATTTTCTTGATTCCAGCCCCCCTTAATTAGTTTCACAATTCTCAAACTTGTCCCCTTTTTTACATATGTAGGGACGACAGTAGAAGAATTAATCCCCAAACTCTAGCTAAATTAAATTACGTACCAAAATCTGCGAGCTGAGGCACCAACGACGGATTTCCCTTCTTCATCTTCTTTGAAGAAGGTCATGCATGCTCTGAACCACAGCTTTAACGAAAGGAAGTAAGATGTTTATTTGAAGGGGCTTGAACATCGATCTTCCTTCATATATATGTGTAATAGTATCTTCAACAAAATCTCAGGGACGCCGGACGCAGTCAGTCAACACATCATCGCGACTGATGCCCCAAGTTTTATTGGGTACAGACATGACATGATGAAGATAAATATATAATAGGTGGTGGCTTCACAACCCCCCTTAGCTTACATGCCTTTCTCCTCCACGGACGACGAGGCTTTAGCTTGCTAACGCCTAGAGGGAAACCGGGAAGGAAAGGAAAAAGCTTGCTAAAAGAAATAAACTAATGACCTTCGCGTCGATCGCCTCTATAACTCGTCCTCAAATTCCACCTTTCATCACACTCCAACCAGCATCTATCTATCTAGTTAGGGGGGTCAAGGGAGACAGAGAGGCATCTTAATTATTTCTACATCTGCATCAGTAAGTAATCATTAATTATTTACTTTAAACTCCTCTTCAATAATCTTGGTGCAGGTGCAGATATATAGCTAGAGCCTAGAGATGCAATCCAACCATGCATGCATGTAACAACACTGTTTTGGATGTTCCTTTAATTTGGAGACTGCTGGGATTTGTATCAAATTAGTTAATATACCTTTGTTGTCTACACATTCACATTAATATTTGACGATCCATGACATTTAAAGGTTAACGTGCATATGTTTGTGGGACGCATTAATTGGTAACATGATGATGACTTGATGAGCCAGCAGCAGATGGGGTCGGGCTCCGACAGGACTAACATATAAAGGCCCAAAAAAGAAATGGTCATCATCACTGGTATTAATTGGTAAGACAACCAATAAAATAATTCAGTGATTAATATCCCAATGACAGGATATGACTCCAAAGGTAACTAAGTGCTACTTATTGTCAATTATCAACACCCAACAACCACACACGTAAAGAAAAAAGAATCATGTCTCTCCCGGCCCTATACTCCCTATCAACAATGAATATCTATCTATCTCTGCGGAAGTTGGAAGTTGCAGGGCCATTGTGTCTAGTCCTGACTCCAGACACAGAGAGAGAGAAAGAGAGAAAGAGCGAGCGAGATATGGTCGGAGTTTTTAGACAAATATAAATATAATTGATGGTGCACCATACATGCATGTTTGGGTGTTGGGGGAATATAGCACGAGTGGTGGATCAACTCCTTGTCCCAACTTCACACAAACACACCATCCAATTCCAAACATTACATAATAAACTTTGCCATAATGCATAATGCATGGGTGGTCGTATACATATGCTGTACATGTCCACTGATGATCTTCATGTTCCCCAAACATGCACATGAGAGGAGAGGAGAGGAGAGCAGAGGAGACCCCAAATATGTACATGTCCACATGTCCTTGTTTACTACACATACATATATCGATCGCAGACCGATCATACATATATGACATGTTGGGACTTAACCCCGGCCCCCTACTTATTGAAAGCACCATGCTAGCGGCCATCAAGAAGAAGGGTTTCCTTGCAGCCACCTAAGAGTCAAACACAGGCACAGCCTTAAGGAAAAAAGCGACAAATGAGAAATGGTAAGCACCGGTTCCATTCAATAAGCAATGCGTAATTAATTCCCATGAGATGAGACTTGAGATCGAGCATATGCTCCTGAGCCGGATTCGATCGATGAAGCCTCGTTGGCATTGATCGATATTGGGTCTGGAAATTAATTTAAATGAATTGGGATCAAATTTTGGTTTATCCCAGCTATTTGGATCAGCAATCAGGCCAAGTGGGTGTTTTGTTGTATTTGGTAATTATGAGGAATTTGATCCCTGATGATTATCATTTTCTCAGAAACCACCAACCTTATTGAAGGCTTTTCTGGGAAAATCTGTTTTTCTTTTTGGTCGTGTTTCCTGTAGGCATTTGCAGCATTAACATTATTGGGTCTGGAAATAATTATGGACATGGACACATTATTGCCATGTCAGAAAGTCAGTCATGCAGTGATGAAAAGAATTGTCCACGAGTACGAGTAGAAAGAAATATTAACAAAACACGCTTCCACTACAAGACATGTAGTAGTTTCTTTCTTAAAAGAAAAGAAGAATACAAGAGGACAATTAAGAAAAATATGTGATAACGGTGCAAAACCAATTGTTTGAATAATTTTGAGTCTAGTCTCCCTCACAATTCCCAATGCGATCAGATCAGATCAATGTTTTAAGGGAGTCTGGATGTGGCTGTAATATGAGCAGGAAATCCCAATTCAATGGGAATGCTGTTTATAGTTATAGGGGTGGGGATAAATACAAATACATTTGGGAATAAATCAATTCTTAAGAGAGAGTGAGAGTGGAGTATAAAAATGTTTGATCAAAACATCAAAATTGAAAAGGAATGGAAATATGACAAGATCTGAAGCGCACGCAACAAAGTAGATGCCTATTCTGCACTTCATATCATGGACGACAAAAATGATCCCCCTACATTATTTCCATTTCCATCTAGTTTTAACGTGAACCCTACCATTTGATATCTGTCTGTCTTTTATTTATTAATTACTTTCATTCAAAAACCCACATTGTGATAATATGATAATAAAGAAGAAGAAGAAGGAATTCATACCTTTTTTGTTTCATTTCTAGTCTAGTTGATCGTGTCATTTCAACAGAAATATGTCAAGAATACACAATTTGATGATGGTACAGTAGTAGCTTTCCATTTTCCAATTTTCTTTTAACAGATTGTCAACAAAACCAAAGAGAAATTCCATCTATTGCCAAGGAGGGTTTTAGAATTTAGATAATAATAATAGTTCCCCTCTTTGTTGCTGCGACAGCCTTTCCCTCTTCAGCTCTTCTCCTCTCCTCTTATCTGCAATTCTGCAAAACGCTACTACAACACTACACAGCGAGCAGCCTTGACCCATGCAGGGTCAGGACACTCTTCGTAGTCCTTTCATCCTTTGTGGAGCTTGAATTCCAGTTGACTAAGCAGGGAAAAAGAAGTACGTGGGTGACAGCAGCCAAAACCAAAACCAAAAGCAAGCAATTAATTAATGGCTTCTGCAACAAATCCCCTCCTCTCCTCTCCTCCAAGTCTTTCTTTGGTACTCAACTCCATCTCTCTTCCCCAACACCCAAAATCACCCACCCTTCTGTGACTGTCCCTCTGTCTCTCATCTCTAAAACAAAACTTCTTATCACCAAATCCCTTCTCAGCAGAAAACCCAATCCAAATACATTCTGGAATAACATCCCATCTCAGGCCACTCTGGCAGCCCTATTTTTCTCTTCCATTTCACAAACCTTACCAGCTGCCCTCGCCATAGACAACAGCATCACCACCCCTTCCCCACCGCCTGTAATTGAAGCTGAAGCCACCAAGGCCGACTCCTCTTCACCTTCTCCCTTCTCTCAAAATCTTCTTCTTACCGCCCCGAAACCACAAGCCCAGTCCACATCCCAGCTCACCGCCGTCGACGGCTGCCGAGCTACCGTTATCGTCCCTAATGACCCAGATCTGATCGACATCTTGGCCATGAGCGGCGTTGATATCTCTGTTTCCGAGGGAGACTCCGGCAACGGCCTATTCAATTTTATCGGAAATCTCCTATTTCCGTTCCTCGCCTTCGCGGGACTGTTCTTCCTCTTCCGACGAGCCCAGGGAGGCCTTGGTGGTCCCATGGAATTCGGCCGGTCTAAATCCAAATTCCAGGAGGTTCCAGAGACTGGTGTCACATTTGCTGACGTCGCCGGTGCCGACCAGGTCAAATTGGAATTGCAGGAGGTGGTCGATTTCTTGAAGAATCCCGACAAGTACACTGCTCTTGGGGCGAAAATTCCCAAGGGTTGTCTATTGGTCGGTCCCCCCTGGAACCGGGAAAACCCTTCTAGCCCGTGCAGTTGCCGGAGAAGCTGGGGTGCCGTTTTTCTCATGTGCTGCATCAGAGTTTGTCGAATTGTTTGTGGGGGTTGGAGCGTCAAGGGTTCGGGACTTGTTTGATAAGGCAAAGTCGAAAAGCCCCCTGCATTGTGTTTATTGATGAGATTGATGCCGTGGGCAGGCAGCGTGGAGCAGGGCTTGGAGGTGGAAATGACGAGAGGGAGCAGACAATTAACCAGCTCTTGACGGAGATGGATGGTTTCTCGGGCAACAGTGGTGTGATCGTCCTTGCGGCAACTAACAGGCCCGATGTTCTTGATGCGGCATTGCTAAGGCCTGGCAGGTTTGATCGGCAAGTTACCGTCGACAGGCCTGATGTGGCCGGTAGAGTCAAGATCCTTCAGGTTAGCTCGAAACAACTCTAACCAAATGCTTACTCCATGTCCTCCAAGCCTGTTATCTTAGTAAATAGTTTCTGAATTCGTTATCCAATATCCAATATTATTTGCCTTTTATTTAAAAGCCAATGCAAAAGTAAAACAGTGAAACTTTGAAATTAAAATTAACTCGCAAACATGATCAAGCCCTGCATCTCCTGTTGAATAGAAACCATATGTAACCTAGGGACCATCAATTGTCGTACTGTTTTCACGTATCAACTATTTTTCAGACCTTTTCACTCAACATCAAGTTTGTCAGTAAGCCTTCAAACTAAGCACTAAAAAGAAAACTAAGAAGACTCTAAGTAGTTTAGAGAGTTAAAGCATTTATTTTGTTAACAGATTGCGATATGTATATTGTTTTTTATCTCAAACATAATTATACTCCTAATCCCTCTCAATATTGTCAAAAGCTTATAGTATATGTTAAGTTTCACAATTTGAATCATGTACCCCAAGAGTTTCAATTTGAATCTTATCTCCAAATCCTTTTTGTGCAATAATTTCGCAATTAATTTTTGTTTGAATCTATGATTTGATTCATGAATCTAATAATTTATACAGATCATATGATTCAAACCAATTCAATTAAGAATTGGTTCTTTACTGTCATCTTTTTTTTTTTTTTCTATATAGTTTTGTCAAGGAGACTTATTTAAAGCCCTTACTGTAAAATGATTTATTTAGGTTATTGAAAACCTTTTTAAAAATGATATTGAGTTTATTTTCCATCATATGTAGGTTAAAGAGTCATTGTATGTGGATTATTTGACTTTAAAGTGAAGCTTGATTATATTATCTAATCTTATTCTTTTAGTGTAGAACTGGTAAATTTTCTTGTTTTAGGTACAAAATACATGATAGGTAGACAAACTAAAAGTAGGGTAAAATCACTTTTCTATGGTTATCTTACTTTTTACAACACAAATAACAATTCAATTCAATTCAACTTTCTCTATGATTTATGAGAACATTGCACAACACCCCAATATATGGTTGGGTTTTTGCCCCTCCCGCTCCCCCTAGTGCTTGCGTACTGACCAGGACAGAAATCTAACATTATACACATAACCAGACAGCAATTGCAAATGTACTTATCTTGGTACAAGAAGCAAATAAGGGGCAATGAAAGGTAAGTAATGTTATTTGTGGGAGGAAACTGGCTTCCTAGTTAAAGAGAGGCTGTGTTTTCCTGACTCTTCTGGTTCCAGTTGATCCTGTTCTATTTCCTTGGAACTATTTTGAGGTGTAAAATCTTTTTCAAGCTGTGTTGTCCTCCTTCAGATAGGAAAATATGAAAATCTGGCTCATTGTTGCCAAACAGTTCATTGAAAAAGACCAGTGACATTCTAGAGAAGAAGAAAAAGAAGAAATTTTTCCCAACCGACCAGTTTTCATTTCAATCAGAGTGAAAACATACCAGTTTTTCCCAATATACCAAGTGATTTGGCAAAAGACCTAATTTTTTAGTTTATTATTTAAATTTCAAACATGTTATCCTAATCATATGTCTCAAGTTGTTAAGAAAAGGCGGACTGGCTATTAATATTTATCCTAATCTAACAAATTTAAGTTATTTTCTTTTATTCATTTATTTATTTTGGTATTACAAAGTACACCTTATAGGAGGGGACTGGGGATGGGGACAGAACAGAGTGCAAATGAGGCCCACTGGCCATGCCACAGAGAGCCTGTAGTTCCACAGGTTTGATCCCATGCCTCCTCTTTTGGAGGTACACCAAGTGACCATCTCAACTATTGGATCATTGGCATATATTTTCTTTTATTTGGTTTTCTGTTTATTTGAGCAAGTATTATATAAATGACTGATTTGACATATTTTTTAGAAATTTATCAAAGTTCAATCCCGTACAGCAGTTTTAACTTGGGGAAAAAAATCAATCAGTTTTTCAAGGAATTATCTTCAACCAATATGAGTTTTCTTTTTCACTAACACGCAACACCATTCTGTCTGATAGGTGCACTCTAGAGGAAAGGCACTTGCAAAGGATGTGGACTTTGAGAAGATTGCAAGAAGAACCCCTGGTCTTACAGGAGCTGATTTGCAAAATCTGATGAATGAAGCAGCCATTCTTGCAGCCAGGCGTGACCTCAAGGAGATAAGCAAAGACGAGATATCTGATGCTCTGGAGAGGATAATTGCTGGACCTGAGAAGAAGAACGCTGTGGTGTCAGATGAGAAAAAGAAACTGGTCGCTTATCATGGTATATGTTTAGCCACTCATTTGTAGGATGTGCTACCTTCCTACTGACTAGAATTTGTGCTTAACTGATGATGAGCTATTTGCAGAGGCTGGGCATGCTTTAGTTGGTGCACTCATGCCAGAATATGATCCAGTTGCCAAGATTTCTATCATCCCACGTGGGCAAGCTGGTGGGCTTACATTCTTTGCTCCAAGTGAAGAAAGGCTTGAATCTGGGTTATACAGCAGAAGCTACTTGGAGAATCAGATGGCTGTGGCGCTTGGGGGAAGGTTTATCACAGAACCATCTTGTCAACCAATATTACTTGGTCCAGATTTGGAGAGTAGCTAGGGCATTGGTGTAAGGTCATGGATTGTCAACAACTAATACGATTTTGTTTCTCATATATCCAGGGTAACCGAAGAGGTTATATTTGGGAAAGAGAACGTTACAACTGGAGCATCAAATGATTTCATGCAGGTTTCACGGGTGGCAAGACAGATGGTTGAACGCTTTGGGTTCAGTAAAAAGATTGGACAGGTTGCTATTGGTGGACCTGGTGGAAATCCCTTCTTAGGTCAACAGGTAAGGAGTATTTTGGTCCAACAAACAGCTTATAAGTACATTCTAAATCATCTTCAGATTCCTCTACTGTGTGTGAGCGAAGAGATGACAAACAAGTTTTCTAATTCATCTTGACATTCTATATTTGATGCATGCTCTGATTTGCAGATGTCATCTCAAAAAGATTATTCCATGGTCACTGCAGACGTGGTGGACGCAGAGGTAAGAGAACTGGTGGACAGGGCATATTCAAGGACCACGCAAATCATCACAACTCACATTGACATCCTCCACAAACTTGCTCAGCTTCTTATAGAGAAGGAGACCGTGGACGGGGAAGAGTTCATGAGCCTCTTCATTGATGGCAAGGCAGAGTTATATGTTGCTTAAGCCACCAACTCTCTCTAATAAGAATCTTTTTTGTATTATATTGTTTCATACATACACAATGACGATTATTTCTTCAAATTGATTAAAAATTTTGAAGAGAAAAAATGAGCGAAAAAAAGGGCGCATGCATTAATTTAAGGGGTAAAAAACTTGATGTCCTTTCTATATTACAATTTTCTATCTTCTCTTGTTGTGAACGAGAAGTCAACTTCCCAACTAAATTACAAAGACTCGATGTGTGTTCATCAGAATTCGCATGATCGATTCTCAGGATCACCTTCCACCTTTTTGCCTCTTTTCTTCTAGCCCTGCCGCCTCATTTAACATGTCAGCTGCATCTTTGTGCATGTCAAGCTTCGCAAGAGCAACTGCCTGCATGTAGAAAGCTGTAGGCCATTCTGGGTTGACGCATTGTGCTTGCATTGCATCTCGTAGAGCAGCATCTGGTTGGTCACAGAGGAGATAGCATAGACTGCGCCGTGCATAAACGGTTGGGGATATCATTGTTCCAACGTCTATGAACTGCATAAAAAGCAAAGGATCAAAGGATAGAAAAAAAAATGGTCGGATAACCAAAAATATCACATCTTCTAAGTTGACTTGGTTGTCTTTTGATAATTGTCTATTAATTAATTAAATATGGAGCAAATGGTAGAGGATTTTAGGAAAAACATCTTTTAACACTTTTATTTCATTGTGGCAATTACCGTCCTGTATTGGCCCAGCAGTGGAATGGAAATTTTAGAATCCGAACTGGTCAGTTGAGCATTGGCACAGTTCATGCAGGACACCAGGATACTTTATGCAATGTTATGATAACAATTAGTGTTGCTTTTTTTTGCAATTTTTCCTATTCTAAAATGTTTGGCATTTTTAAATAATTCTTTTTTGGTAATATTTCGTTTTTGGCATTTTTAAATAATTCTAAACCATAGAACACGAGTCACAAATTGGACACCGGAAATAGAAAGTGCACCTGAGAATAGCAGTCGATGGCAGTTTTAAAATCTTTATCACGGAATGCAAAGTCCCCACGCTTCCTGGCCTCCAGCATATCACGCATTTGTTGCGTCCACTCTTGGAAGGATAACTGTAGGAATATACATTAAAATAACCATTAGCAAAGAATTCCAAAACTTCTGCCAGATTCCCTAGTCATTCATACAAGTCAATTACCTCGTTGGTTCCTTCATCATCCCTGTAGTGTGTCATTACCAATATCTGATGGATTGCTGTAAGGTCCATGCGTGAACAGGCCTCCCCCATTGGTGAGAGAGGGTGTTGGGGGGTAGGAGGGGCTTCCTCATGTTTTGGTATTCCTAACATCACATAAGATGGGGCCTGCATGAGGAGAATCATGGGGTCAGTTGTAAAACAAAAGGAAGTTTATCCTCCTAACATTTATAGAAACCATCAAGTTGATCCTGAATAAGCTGATCTGATCCTAATAAAAGGAAAAATAACAAGTACTTCCATTAAGTAGACACAAGAATTCACTAGAATCAGAAACATGTAGCTTTAACCCAATATAACCACAATCACTAACTACATATTCACTATAGCCTGCATTTAGATCAAAGCAAAAAACCCTAGAGCAGAGCACAATCACCGACTACAAATAACCACAATATCCACTAAAGTTCAAATGGAAATAGCCAATGAAGGATGACAATAACCATTAGGAGTGGATATAATTGCATCGGCAAAATATGCAGGGCAAGCAAAATTGTTCCACAAACTTGATTGCTTCTGCTACAAACAAAAAAAGTACCGACTGATAATCATAAGAGTTGCAAAATGACATAAAGCCATTTCTAGACAGTCAACAAACCTCACAGCAGTGTTAAGGATACAAAGCATCACATGGATCCAGAGGAAACAAATATTTTCTTCTAAAGGGCAGCCCAGTGCATGAGACTCCTGCCAATGCAGGATCCTTCTAAAGGACAGCCTCACCCTGCGCATATACACAGAGAGGCAATGTCCTCCGCCTTCACATTAAAAGAATAAAGAAAAAGAATGAAGAAAAAAACTCACGTGGCTAATACAAACATTAACCTATGATCTTGGACAAAAGCACAAGCTTTGCAGTATAACACAAACAAAGGGTGTCATACAGGAAGCTATCAAAAGATTGAAATGTGGACAAGGCTACCAACAGCCATTTACTGGTACAGCTCAAATATTTGAAATGAGGGAACTTTCTGGGCTTTTATAAAGCCCCAAAGAGTTTAAGTTAAATCATGCTCCTCTATTAGGGCCTACATAACAATGTCCTTAATGCATGCTTCCTTGTCCCTTCCCCTGGTTTAGAGAAGCCAAATAAACCCAGTATTTGGTTCAAAGTGAAAGTCAGTGAAATAGGTCGCTTGTGGTTGAGTAGGTGGTTCCCATCGGCAGGGGCAATTATCGATGGTTGGAGAATATCAGTTTGGATAGGAATGTTGAGCATTCCTCTTCATGCTTGGTGTTTGGAGATGTTCAGGGTAGTGGCACTGGGAATCTGTTGTGGTAAATTCTTGTTACATGATTGTAGGAATAGGATGTGGGAAAAGATTGATATGACAAGGTTTCTGATTGAAGTTAAAGACCTATACTGCATTCCTACTTTAATCAAGCCTGGATTCACTGGGGAGATTAATGACCTGAGAGTTGTTGAGAGGGAAGATTTGATGCTCTCATGTAGGAGGATGTGGATTTAGGTAGAGATGTGGCCAGTGTTGCATGGAAGATGGAGGTTCAGGGGAAATTGCAGAGGGCAAGGAGAAGGGGAAAAGGGCGCATCGTGGAGGAAGATGATGAGTTGGAGGGTAGGAAGAGCAATAAGGTAATTTCGAACACTGCTGCCCTTGAAGGGGCTGAGAAGACAAAGGGTCAGGAGGAGGTTTCAAGGGATAGAGGAGTAAGAGCTGAGGCCATAGTTTGTCAAGGCGATGCCTAAGCGACAAGGCACCCTTTGGAGGCTCACCTCACCTAATCGCCAAGCAGTTTTGTACATTGTGTTATACAATACTTTTATATTCTTAATTTTTTGAGATTATAATTATAAAATAGACATTATTAAACTAAAATATTCACTTTGTGTCTTTATATACTAATTTCTTTTTATTATTTTCTTATTTGTTAGGGTTTAATCAACACAAACATTTCTAAATGCTGCATTTAACCCTCAAAGACTTCAAAACCTGAACCAATAAGGAATAACTTAAAATTTTGTCTAATCAACACATTATCTTCTTCCACATATTCTTCTCCTTCCACTTTTTCGTTTCTTCTTTTCCTATAACAAAATAGGGGTTCAGCCCCTGTATTTCTTTTCTTTCTTCTTTTTTGTTATAAATATGTTGATTTTCTGTACTTAATCATGAAGTTTATACTTTTCCTATGAAAATTATGGATAAATGTTAAGGAAATATGGTTATGGAACCTAGAGAACTACCCTAGGATATATGTTTTTACTTAAAAAAAGTCCATTGCCTAGGCGACTAGGCGACAATGACAAGGCATGTCCCTGTCGTCCAGCCTCACCTTGGTGCCTTGAAAACTATGGCTGAGGTGGCTGCTGTTAAGGCAGAGCAGGTTAACAGCCAACAAGTAGAGGGAGTTTCCTCTGAGGGAAGACAAAGGGCTTCATTCATTGGGAGCTGAGAGCATACTAATGAAGAACCAAATTCTTTATTCAAAAAATCTGGGGAACACAAATCTTTGTGCAAGGAAGCTGAGGAGGCATTAGCTTTAGCTAGGGAGGAGATCAAGGGATGTGGGGACCACCTTACTAAGAAAAGTGATATGAGAAGAAGAAATTGGTGGATGGACCTGCGGATTAAAAAAGGAAAGGGTAACATTGGAAAATATTATGAGTAAGAGGTTAAAGAGGAGGTAGTCCAAGAAAGGTGGAGGTCATAAGGTAGGTGTAGGGGAAAAAGAGGAATGGGTCTGGGTGACAACAAGGTTTTGAGTTGAAGTGCAAGAGAAGACAGAGTCAAAGATTACAGTGTTTAACAATGACAAGTGCTGTGATTCTCTGTTTTCTTCAGGCAAGTCTTTGATCTCGATTCTGTGACTGATAAGGTGCCACCACAGTGGAAATTTGGACTGAGGGTATCCTGAGTCCAGCTGTTGTACCTATTACAGAGAGTTATGACAGTGAGATTCAGGAGGCAAGGACTGACACTGTAGACAAGTGGTTTCGAGGGTTGATAAGGTCCTAGGATTTGGAGTGGTGTCACAGTCATGGAAGAGGTGGAGAGTGCCAAGAAAGAAAGGTCAAAGGGGAATGTTGAAGAAGGGGGTGCTGGTGTTCAGACTTCAGACAATTGTTAACAGTAGCTGTCAAGCTAATGGCATTGAAAATCTTATCTGGACAGTCCAGAGTTGTCTCGAACATGTGACGATCTTTGGGTTTCTGAAGTGGTAGTGGATAAAGTGGGGATTTACAAAGGAAAAGGGGTTAAGTTCAGAAATCCCAATCATGTTGACCCTGTTAGGGAGAACCAGGACTTGCAAGGTGTTGATGGGAAAAAAATCTGTCCTTGTCTCCTCCTATGGGGGAGTCTGGAAAAAGTGGTGCGTTTGTGGAGGAGAGTGGTTGTGAAGGACAGGAGGGGGAGGTTGGGGTCAAGGTGGTGATGGAAGGGAAGGAGGTGGAGCAAGATAGTTTAAACTTAAAGGAAATTGTTGACAGTGAGGTAGAGTTGGCAAGTCTTCGGGTTAGTTCTTTTTGGGAGGGGAGGCTTTTGCAAGAAGAGCTCTTGAAGAACTTGAGAGGAGAGACTTGTATGAAAGCTTCTGCAGGGGAGGGGGGATTTGGAATGAGCAAGGAAGGCAAGATGATTTATATAATGGGGAGGATTGAATGTGCTTTTGGTGGAGTTTCTGGGGGTGGTATCCAGTGCTTAAAAGGAAGGTTTTCTGCCTATGTTTCTGTTGCATGTTTCTCAAGAGGCTCCAGTTGTAGTTTCTTTGTGGGGTGCTATCTTAGCACCTGTTAAGTGGTTGTACTCAGTTTTCCCATTTCTTTAATAAAATTTCCCTTTTACCTTTTTCCAAAAAAAAACTCTTTTCATGGGGACCCATATTATGTTTTTAATGATGGCATCACATAAAAAGCTAAATCTCCAGAAATAGCTATAACACCAAGCATATGCTACAACACCCACTCAATATACATGCAGAGTGATTGTTCACTACTAGAAGCAACCTTCATTACCCACTAAGGTAAGCATATACATGCATAAATTTAAGTAAGCATATCATAGAGATTCTGGTGTTTTCAGAACATAGCAGTATATTAAAGTTAATAAGCAAAGATAGGAAATTACATCTGGTTTTGTGTTCAGTGGTGAAAGTGTGGCAACAAGGTTCTTTGGGTTTGGCCGCTCCCTAGGTTCATATTGCAGACATCGAGAAGCAAGGCCAATGACTGCTGTTGCCTCTTCTGTTGAAAAGTTTCCTTCTAAATGTGAATCCATTAAAAGAAGAATGCTTTTCCCTCGTATCATATCAAGAGCCTGCATTCATATCTAAAGATCAATTAATAAGACAGAATAAATACCAAGGATTATGAGAGTATCCAGAAATTTTATGGTTTTCAATTAAATGGTCATACTTAAGCTCACTATACTTTTATATATTTGTGCCAAGTCAAAAACTTCAAGCAAAATATTCCCACACAATATTCTATGAATACTATTGATGGAATTTTAGACTTTATAATGATTTCAACTTTTAAAGAATACAACAGTATTTTCAACCTGTTTTTGATCTGAATAGCCAAACTGTTTGGCCCATCACCTGGAGGCCAAGATGGTCCAGTTCAACCCCAAACCTGTTAACATACAAGAGCCTGTTGCCTTAAATTGAATTCAGTCCAGACTCCTTCCTTTCTTTATTCTTCTCTAAACTAAGCCCTAATGTTCTGACTCCTTCCTTCCTTTCTTTATTCAGTCCAGACTCCTTCCTTTCACTAGTTTGTAAAGGTTCAACCCATTCAACACGGACAATCAAATTAAATAGATTATTTTTTATTCTTGATATTTAAAATAAAAAATTTGCAAGCTAAGTCACAGTGTGCTCAGAGAACAAATCTAAAAGGCCATCATCATCATCATCCACTCCTTATCCCAAGTTCCCAACTACATGGGTTTGACTACATGAATCCTGTTTTGTCAATCCGTTCTATTTAAAGTCATATCCACTGTTAAATTATTAATGCTTAAATCATTTCTTACTACTACCCCTGTCCTTTTTGGTCTACCCCAATCTCTTCTAACCCCTTCAATATGTAACAAATCACTTCTTCTAACTGGCACAATTGGTGGTCTTCTATGCACATGCCCAAACCATCTTAGGGGCCATTTGGCAAGTCTTTTTTGAAAGATCTTCTGGAAGCTCTGACAGTCAAAAGACATAGTGAGCTTTTGCATCAAGATCTTGACAGCCTGAAGACCGTTTGGTTAAAGTGTGTCTTTCCGCACAAAGACAAGTTGAAAAAAAAAAAAAACAAAAAAACTCCATTTGGAGCTTCCCAAAAATAACCCAAAACGGGCTTCGTGCATCTTTTCAGTGCAGTGTCTTTTGGCGGCTATATCTCCACCGAACCAAACAGAAAAAGACCACAACGCGATCTGCACCGCACGAAAAGATGCACCACACGGGGCCTTAGTCTACAATCCCCATTGTTTCTTGACTCCCCAACACTGCTCCATACAATATATCTGGCCTTACAACTGCTTTATAGATTCTTTCTTTTAATCTAAGTGGTATTCGCCTATCAAACAAAGGCCCAGATGCACCCCTGCAATTTGCCCATCCTGCTCTAATTCTTTGGGTGGCATCCTCTTTAATCTCTCCCTTGTTATGAATTATTGAACCAAGGTACCGGAAATGGTCACATTGAGTTATCTTGATCCCATTATTACTAAATTTACATGTCATCTACTCTGTTTTATACTACTTATTTTAAAACCTCTTGTTTCTAAGGCATTTGTCCATAAGCTTAATTTTGAGGGTGTGTTCTTTTTTTGGATTTTGAGGGGGGGGAAAGCTGGTCAATGGGATTTTGGTTCCCATTGACGAAGAATCCCATGTTCATTTTTCAGATTTATGTGGGGACCAGGGAAAGTTTATTTTCCTGGGTAGATACCCATCTCCTAAGTGGGTAAATAACTTTCCCACCTAAGAGGAAAGTTGCTAATACTTGAATGGGACAAAAATGCCCCTTTTAATAATGGATTTTTTATGGATAAAATGGTCATTACCTTATTTACCTAGAAAATAAAAGAACATGGATAAATGAACTTACCCAGGTAAATATTTCACAGGAAAAACTTACCCAGGTAATTGTATTTACCCGGGTAAATAACTTATCGAAAAGCGAATGGGGCCTGAATTTAATCCTAAATGCAATTCTAAAGATGATGGCATACTTTAAATGGATTGCATATGTAGAAGAGCTTACATGACTTGGAGGAATATGCTTTCCACTAAGAAGATCCAAGAGAACAGTACCAAAGCTGAAGACAACACTTTCAGGAGTGACCCTCCCTACAAATGTAGAAATCATCAAGATTGCATATGTTATTAGTCAAAATCAAACAAAAAAAAACAGTAATTGATGTAATGCAATGATAAAATAGTTTTCACACAACATAGCCAGCCAAGCTATATACTTGAACAGCATATTTAAATGAAACACAAGACAATATATACAACAGTATATCATTTTTTATCAAGTGAATGCTACACTGTAAGTTACCGCCATCATGCACCAATCCATGTGTAAAAAAGGTCTTAATGTATCTCAATCTATATTGGGTATATTAGGGAGTGAGTAATGCTTAAGCTTACTTAAAATAATAAAAACATAAAAATAAATGGAAGGTTTTTTGTTCATTTACATTTATCATTTTAAGAATTATTAAAAGAGAAAGTCATACATGTGTACATGTTTTTATCAAGTAAATGCTACACTGTAAGTTACCACCATCATGTACCAACCCATATCCATGGTTTCAAATGTCGCCAAATGTCGCTAACGTCGCCCGACGTATGTCGATGTCGAGGCTCACCGACATGAAAGTGGATGGTAATATAAAAATTACATTATGTTGGTCGACATTTCCTATATTTTGGAAATGTCGACCAAATCGATCCAAATAACCAAAAAAAATACAGTTTTTCCTATTATGTCGACAAGATGTCGACTAGTGTACATTAAAAATATAATATATTAGTACATTATATTAATATAGTACAGTATATTAATATAGATTATTCCATTAATAATTTCTATTTAATATTTCAAATAAAATATTTAYAAAAAAGAATTAACAAAATATAAAAACAAAAGAATAAATTAATTACTTTATAATATAAAACATAAAATATTTTTCAAGTAATAAAATATTAACTAGTTAGTA